TTGTACTAGCGAATGCTCATTATGATAATAAAATCATTTAAAAGATTTTGCAGACCTCGCTGAAGTGAGCTGCTTAAAGTCAAGCATCAACCTGATTGGCTTACTCAGAAGTTGCAATTTTGAAAGCTTTTGAGGCTGCTTAGTCTGACTTTCTTATTCAATTGGTTAAAAGCTTGAAAACAGTAAACACATCATTGTGAAAGATTTTGCCAAAAATATGTAAAAAAATAATAGAACCGTAGGAATACCCCAAGTACTACAAATTTTGTCCCGAGATGTTATGAAATGCTATGAAACGCTTGTGTTTTGCGTTAGTAATAATAATAATGGTAATGATTTTATTGTAATATAAAATTGCAAAAGGCGATGTGAAGCTTAGCTAAACTTATTTTGCTAATCTAACCTAACCTTATGGCAATTTTATAAAGTACACAAGCAAAATAACACTTTTAACAATTATTTGAAGTGATCTGACCTTTCTTATAAGTCACCTTATTAAACGTAGAGTTACTGAGACTTATTAAGCTGCTTGGTACTTTATTATAAGAGATGTAGACCTGTGATAATTTTGACAATAGTGTATCGATTGACCTATAAGGACTAATAATTTTTGTTTATATGTCAGAGTTAGATGCAGCACTATATTTTCAAAACTGATTTTAATACAAAACTAATAGTAATTGCATTGGTAGATGGTAGACACTTGAGAATCATAAAGAATTTTTATTGGAACTAGAAAGCAGTGGTTCAAATTGATGGAAGATTAATTGACGAATGTTGCATTCAACAGATATTGGTTCATTCTTCCTCCCGCTACTGTTTAACATCTACTCGGATATAATTTTTAAAGAGGTTTTGCCAGTTGAAGACTTTGAAGTAAAGATCAACTGATCAATAATATTCGATATGCCGAGGATACAGTCCTCTTGTGCGATAGTAATCAGGACTTTCAAGGGTTTCTGGATTGTGTAAACACGACTGGACGAGACATGAGTCTGAAAACGAATGTCAATAAGACAATATTCACGATATTCGGTGGTGAGCCGATGCTTCCCTGCAGGTAGACGAAGAAACATTGAAGGAGTTACTCAATTGAAATATCTTGGATGCTACCTCACAGAACAGCTTGACCCAGGTAATGAGATTAAGAGCAGAATTGAAACAGCTCACATAACTTCTCTGAGAATGAAATCCTTCTTCCCTAACGACAATTTAATCCTAAAATTGCGCCATGAATAATAAAATGTTATATTTGGTCGCCAGGAAGCTTTCGAAATGTGATTGCATAGAGGAATTGGAAGAAAGCAGATGTCCTAGCTGAAGAATATTTGCTATTGCAAATATTCTTCAGCTATATGCTTATATGCTTATATGCAGTGCCGACGTTATAAACACCCCAATTGTAATTGCCAATTGCCAAACAACGAGGATTACCGGCTGGGAGAATAAGTCGTTGTGCTTCGAGGGCTAATTTGGTATACAGACATAGGAGGAGGGAAATATATTATGACGATTCTCATAGGATGCCCCCTATGACAGAGTGTTCCAAGCTGAGATCTGAGTGATAATTATACATATGTGCCTAATATTTGACTGCCCAAAAGATTAACAAGGTTGGTCGAATATAATTCATTCAATCACCTCACTTAGGTACTTAGCCGAAGGTATTGAGGGCAATGACAAACTCACTCAAGATGAGGCAGTAGTCTCTCGCTGTCTAATGAGTTAGGACACTGGCATTCTTATACAGGAAAACACATGCGGGATGTGTAAGGATTTAGAGGAAGTTCTCCTAGGATCTCCTAACCATCTGGCACGGTGTATTAAGAGTTCGAGCCATGGCCACTTTGTATAATCCTTATGACTCAATTAACAGAACTGAGTACAGCACAGTATCCATATAGGACATATGGATCCACCATATGCGAGAATAGAATAAGGCCTTGCTCTAATTAATTAACTAATAAATGTTAGAATGTCAGGCAGCTCTAGGTGCTGAGGTTGGGCTACATAATGATGACCGGTTCTTTAAAAACCACGCCAAGACCTTAAGGTATGGCTTGGGGTCCGGAGAGCTGCACTCAGATTGCAGATTCTGGGAAACTCAAGGCGCGGACAGAGGGGCACCGACAATTATGTCAGATGGGAACCAAAAGGGACAGAACTGACAGACATGCAGATCGAGCGTCCCTGCAAAGGACAACTGGTTCTGTGCGGGAAAAATTATTCTTGTACCTCGTGGGCTAATCTGGTATGTGGACGGGCCCAAAATAGACACTGGAACAGGAGCTGATGTGTCCGGCAGCTTTCCTAGGGTACAAATATCTGTGCCTCAAGAGAGGTACTCGGACAAGCGACAGTCGAGCGACTGTCTAGGTTCTGAACTCTGTTTACTTAAGAGCCGAAAAACACTGACAAGACTGGTGAAAACTAATGCTGTTAGTCTGGCCTGGGTAACCGCTTGAAGACAATAAAATAACAGATCAACTGACTGGACCCGGACCTTTCGTTAAAATAGCAGGCAGGGTGCTAAATAGTAAGCTGAATAAATGTCTCGGGTGCAGTAAGGCATTGTATGTTTCCTATGTTTTTCAAATCTAACGTGTAAAGTCTTTTTGTTTCTCCTCTCCTCTCTGTTATATGACTCTCCCCACCTTCACAGGTTAATTGGTAGATACAATCTTTCTCTTAAGCCGATGTTTCTGGCTTTGTTTTTGTAAGTATGTTTGTTTTACCAGCAAGTGGTATGATGGTTAGTTAACGTTCTAATATTATCCGAGATATAACGTCCGGATTTGCAATATGCAGTGCTCGATAGATTCTTGCTTCAATCGTCCTAGAATTGTCAGTAGAAATTAACCTTAGAAAGTGTCTCTTCGATTCGGGATGCACATCCATTTGTAAGTCTTTGATGCAAAACTATATAAAGTGAAGACTGTATTCGGATTCAGGATTACATTAAGCAATTTATTTACAAAAACAAAGCCATAAACATCCACTCGAGAGAGAAAGGAAAGGAGACTCGCGAAATTTGTATGGAACAAACAACACCACATCAAATGATAGACGCTCAGCTTATCCACAGGAAACCGCATTGGAAAGGGGGCGACTTTAAGAAAGCTGTATTCATTAAAAAAATGAAAACATCTTTAGCAATCCAAGCATGAAAATAAAAGGCAATCTTTCTTTAAGCAAACGAGGAAACTAAAATTCATCTCCTAAGCAGCTGCACACCACTAGACGGCAGCCGAATAAGAGTGCTAAAAGCTTAATTCATTAAAACCCAGGAACTCCGCATGGAAAAGGTACTGTACTTCCTCGAGAGCACAGGACTCTTCTACGGGAGGAAGTCAAGACGTGCGGGCATAATGAATCGAAATATATGAATGCAGTGTCATTGTCATAAAGGACAGAGACGTATCGCAGATAGAATAGGAACAATCTAGTTACAATATCAGTGGGACTGATGTTAAAATTTAACGGAAAACTTGTCGACTCGAATGAGAAAGAAAACAGACAATGAAGGGTGAAATGCAAAGGTCAGAACATGTATGTACTAAACAACACTGCATTAAATCGTCCGAAGCTCGGGTTATCCATAGGAAACTTCATTGGAAAAGGCGCAAGATTAATGAAGTTGTCTTCATCAAAAACACATACCGGACAGTATTAAAAAATCAATTTTAATCATTGTGAAGCAACCAAACTAGAAATCATCCGAACACTCTGCAAAAGAGCAATCATTGCAGTGAAGAAGCGTCACTTGATGCAGAATTAAGCAGGATTAAAGATGATTTGCTTCGTAATGGCTACACTCCAAAAAATTATCAAATTTTAAACGGAAAGCTCTCTCTCTTGACGAACCCATACGTGAAGGGAATCTCAGGAAAGATGTGTCGAATACAAAAACATTACAAAATTAAGATTACATTCAGTTTCGGGACAACATTAATGAGCATTTTAAAAGAACAAAATCAGAAACATCGACTCGAGAGAAAAAGTGTATCTACCAAATACCGTGTGACTGTGGAAAGAAATATACTGGAGAAACGAAAAGACTTTTAAACGTTAGAGTTAAAGAACATAGTGGTGAAATCCAAAGGTAGAGGAATCGTGAATCGTTTCCACAAGGAACCGCATTGGAAGAATGGCAAGTTTAAGGAAATTAAAAATAATGGCAACATCTTTAGCAATCCAAGGGTGGAAATACCTGCAATCTGGCAACCTTTAATAGGGCACGCCAATCTTGGCGTCCTAGCGGAACAACTTCACCCTTGACTGTACCCGACTCCGTCACAGTTGAACCTCGTGGTTTAGGATATAGGCCTCGCAGCCTTAGAACTAAAATTAGTCTGCCCTTGAAAAGGGGTAGTAATGCTAAGGCTCTGCCAGATACGTTTTGTAAACAAAAAATAAAGGCAATGGAAGTTCGACAATCTCTTAGTATTTGTGGAGTTCCCTTCTATTCTAGACACAGTTTGCATGTGCTGTCGTTGACCACCGACAGTGTCCTTTTAGGATTCATCGCCTATAACCTTCAAGCAAACGAGGTAACTAAGCAGCTGCCTGAGTACTAAAAGCTCAATTCATTGGGACCAAGAAACTGCGCATGAAAGAGGTACTGTACTTCCTCGAGAGTACAGGGCTCCTCTAAGGGAGGGAGTGAGAAGACGTGTAGGCATAATGGATCTAAAGATCTGAATGCAGTGTCCTGGCTGTAAAGAACAGGGACCAATCACTGATAGAATAGCAATAGGAACAATTGATATGACCAATTAGACTGAGGTAAATACTTAACGGAAAACTTCTCGACATTATTTTGACCCCCAACCGACCTCGAACGGAGAGATCGTGGGGACCATTTTCCATCGGGAATATCGCTTTCGGTCCTTTAGTCCTGCATTACCAGCAGGACGAACGTTTTATTGATTTCTCTCGTCGGCGGCGGCGGCGGGCCCGACACGCCGCCAAGTGCATCTCTCAGGCTGGCGGCGGCGGCGACGGCGACGTCTGCCCCTCACTATTTAGGATCGCGGGCGGCCGCGACGCGAAACAGTCGAACGTCGAATACGTCGCTTGCCAGAATCGAAACGGCAACACTTTCCGATTTCGCGCGGTGTGCGGAATGCCGCCGAATCGCCGCCAAACGCAATAAAAACCGCCCGACTGTATTTATTCGGAAATACTTCGCGGCCGTTCACACTTGCGATCTCCGTACTATCTCCGCGCGGTCATACATTATGTCGTTCGTCTGAACTATTTCAAGGACGTCCGTCGTGACGCTCCACCGATTCTTCGTCGTCAATCTCGGATTCGAGGAGTCTCAGTGCGCGCGGTCGACCAAACGAGCATGTCACCCAAGTTGTATTGTAACGACATGAACCCGGGGGTTCGAGCGGTGCTGCTTACGGCCAAAGCTCTGGAACTGGAACTGGACCTCGTCGAGGTCAGCATTTACGCGAAGGAACGGTTCGACGAGGAGTTTTCTCGGGTAAGTGGTTTCGTTTTGGCTGACCGAGTTCCGTAAGGATGCCGGACGACGAACTTGATCCGCTATAACGACCTAATACTGCCAGCAACAGGTCTGTTTACATAGATATCGACTCCGGGTGCGTAACGTTGTGCCAGGAGTTTCGCCTTAAATTCGCCAGGTCTTAACGGTCGCTGGTTCCTGACTCCCTAAATCAAAACTTGTAATATTATATTATGCAACAATTTGTTAAACGGCATCTGAGTTGCGAGTTTATATGGCACTGGCGAAGAGCAACGCAGCGACTGTTTAATTAACAAGTGACTTAAAAAGTTTACCAAACTTATTGCATACTATACTACCTCCATTTTTGCAAAACAACATGAATACATTCAGTGACATGAACGTCTTCTTTCTCTCTAAGACTGTTGCTATAATATTAGTTGGCCTTGACAAAACTGTTAGCCAATAGGGCTCTGTTAAGATTAAAAAATGAACGAAAGAAAGAACTTTGTCGTAGCAGCAGATAGAGAAATATTATGGTGTTCAAAAATATGGCCTGCTGCTTGGGTACACATGTTTAGTTTTTTTCGTATATTTTCTTAGCTTAAACGGGGTTATTCATTGCACGCGTCTCGAATTCCATTTTCTATATCTTCTGGTATTGTAGGAGGATTCAAATAAACACGATCTTTAACATATGTGTTCAGTCACATGATCAAGAAGGCCATCCAATGAATCCCCCTCTACTTGTTGGATTTCGATATTATCAATTTCTTGAAGCAGTTGAGCTAAATTAGTCAAAAAATTTAAATTTCCAGGCTCGTTATATGGTACGTGAAGAAAATATGGTCCAATAGCGTGTAAGTGTTTTATTCCACACCACACATTAAGCGATCAATGGTTGTTGTTTTACACTTTCCGTACCCAAAATGGATGTTGAATAATAATGCATGTTATGACGATTAATTGCACCATTACTGCGAAAATTAGCTTCATCGGAAAACGTTATTTTAGGTACAGAATTTGGATCGGCCTCCATTCCTTCATTTATAATGCTCAAAATCATGGTTTAGAAGTTTGTGATGTAATTCCATATGAAAGTGATGATATTTATGTTTTGGTGGTGCGGATTGTCTTGAACTTGAAGTAAAATTTCCAATTCTTTTTCCTCATTGGTAGCATTTCACACAACACAACACAACAGAACAGTGCCAACACCTAGTGTATAAAGCAAATCAATTAATTTACTCAATTGTCGCAAAGTATTAAAAATAGGTATATGACACACTTAATAAAAATTGTAGGTTTTTGTAAGATCTTTCAAAAGAAAAAATAACAATATATATGAGTGCCATTTAGGAAAATTGAGATTTTTTTTAATTTAGGATGTTCCAAATATATTCGTTTATTTTGAACATCCTGTACCATATTAATCAAATTGCATTGCATATATCTTTTACGTCATTTTCTAATAACGCTTATGTCAAATATTAGTGATCTACTAATACTATCGTACTTTTTTGCTAGTGTGACAACTAGTATGTTTTTAGAAAAATTAAAATATTGGAAAAACTATTAGGTTCAGGTATATATTGTTATTTACAAAAAAGTTGAATAATTTTAAAAGGAATTAAAAATTAAAATTTGAAATAGGGTATTAAATTTTTAAAAAAGGACGTTTTATTCCTCAAGCTTTGCAACTTTTGTATTTACCATTTTCTTATAACTTTTGAAAACAATGAGATAATTAACTTTACTCTATCGTTGACTCACTCTGTATTGTATATTGACGATTTTACAATTCAATGAGACATCAAAAATTGTGAAACTCTTTCGAACGTAAAATTGGGAATGGCGGCTTGAATTAGTTTTAAGGTACAATGCAAAGATGTCCTTTGAGTTATCGGCCTCTGCAGTAGACCCAACTGAAAAAACCATAAATGGATTTCATCATCAGATATTATTGTTGTGCCATATTCCGCAAACCACACACAACAAAGATTGTTAACAGAGCCATGAAAAATGCTTGTTTGTTGCTTATGCAGGTAAAATGAACCAATCAAAAATTGAAATGTGAACGGTAAACATTAGGATGTAACTTTAAAAAGTTCATACGAGCCCTAAAACTAAATGTTCGGACGATGTAAAAAATGATAAAAAAGACATTTTAATTTTTTTTTTTTTGCTTTGTCGGTTGAATAATCAATTTACGAACATTATGATAGCATAGAAAGTGCTATCGTAATGAATGATTTTTTATTTCGCATGAATAACGGAAACATACCAAACATACCAAATTTGCTGACAAATAAATATTCGGACGCGAATGTTTATTGACCAAGAAATCAATGATACCCATGCATTGATGGTAAAATGTAGTGTGCTTAGATAAATGAGATGTCAGTTCGGGTTGTATCTTTCAAGTTTGTATAATAGTTGATAAGAAAATGACGCGTGGTTTTGCAACAAACAAAAAAATACGAGAAATTATCATGCAAAAAAATTCAAATGACGAGTATTGCAAAATCAACAGTCGGGGATGTTAAAAAAAAGTATGGAGAGACAGCTAGTGTTAGCGTTCATGGTAAAAGTTCAGGCCGCCCCCGTAAAATCAATGAAAGAGATCGTCGTATTCTGGTCAAGATTTGTAAAACTAGTTACGACAAAATCAAGCCCAATGGAATCACGAGGCAAATTGAAATGTGTCCAGGGAATGTTGTAGACAATGGATGCATAAGTCTGGTTGGTGAGTTTTTATAAGGTAATTCTATAATTATATATATATATATATATATATATATATATATATATATATATATATATATATATATATATATACAGGGTTTTTCACTTAAAACTCCGCACGCCAATAAGTCCAAAACGAAAAGAAATATTTAATTTCTGTAATAAAGTAGTCAAAGTGTGGGGTCAAGTAGATATTTCCTAAAGTTTAAAAAATTCGACGCCTGCAAAGAGCTGGGCGTCGCGACGCGTCAAAAAATTATTCGATTGCAGAGACTTTGGAAATACGCGCATACAAAAGTACATATTATTTAAAAACTTTTTTGTTATTTACTCAAACTTATTTACTTTACCCGTTTCTAAGTTATACCGATTTAAAATAAACATTTCTTGATTAATAAAAAATGTGATTAACGCTTATTTTTACAAGTATGTCATGAATGTTAGTTACTATGGCAACCATTGTTATCGCAGTTGTTTTAAGTGCAATTACAAACAATAGATTTCAACTATTTTAGTATGATTTTATTTATTATTTTTTATCGATTTAGTTCTGATAACATGATAAATAAATGAAAAAACAGTAAAATACCTACAAGTTAATAACCAGAATTATTATTGCAATTTACTACATAATAAGACATTTCTAAAATTTTGTTCAAAATTATGTCCATCTGCTCGAACACAACTATCAAAAACTTTTAACAGATGAGCTTAGGTCACTTGTAGGAGAGTCCTTCTTGTGATAGCGGCACACGCTGCACTAATTTTGTTAATGAGATCAGCCATATCTTCGATAGGTTCTTCATAGATAACGTTTTTTAGGTAGCCCCAAAGAAAATAATCTGGTGGTGTAATGTCCGGGGACCTCGCCGGCCACCTTACCGGTCCATTAGTACCAAACCATCTATTGGGATATTCTCGGTTCAAATACCTCGTTACTATTTGGGCATTATGTGCAGGCGCTCCATCCTGCTGTAGCCACATATTCATTCTAGTGTCAAGAGGCACTTCTTCTAATAGTTCCGGAAGTGTAGTTTGAAGAAATCTTAAATAGCGATCTGCATTTAAAGTTCCTTCGTAAAGGTAAGGTCCAATAAGGAATCCATTTAATATGCCGCACCAAACATTGATACTAAAAATTCGTTGGTTACCTCTTTCTGTAATCCAACGAGGATGGTTTTCGGGCCAAAAACGACGGTTGTGTCTATTAACGATTCCATTATTTTGAAATCGACTTTCGTCGCTCCATAAAATTTGCATCTTGGCTATACAAATCGGACAATGTCACTAAGAAATACATTCTTCTAGCATAATCGCCTGGTTCTAATTTATGAACTAGTTTACTTTTGTACGGGTGAAAAGAGTTTCTATGTAGAATTCTCCACGAAGAACTTATGGTAACACCGGTATTTTCTTTTATCTCTGATAGGGATATCTTGGGGTTATTATCAACCTGCTGAATTACAGCAGCAGTATTTTCATCATTTGTAGCCGTCCTGTTCCTATCTCTTTTAGGTTTTATGAAGCTGCCATATTCTCTTAAGTTTTTACATAAACTTGAAAAGGTTGTTGCATCGGGGACTCTTCTATGCGGATAACGCCGTGCGTAAACTCTTTTTGCTTTTCTACAATTGCATCTGCATTCTCCAAACACCAGTAACATGTCTACTTTTTCCTCATTGCTAAATTGCACCATTTTCACATAATAATTCTTAGTTTTTTTTTAACCGAACAAATTTGGATATTTCTTGTGACAAAATGTGACAATTTTTTGATACAGCAATAACAACTTACGTTTGTAATTGCACTTAAAACAACTGCCATAACAATGATTGCCATAATAACTGACATTCATGGCATACTTGTAAAAATAAGCGTTAATCACATTTTTTATTAATCAAGAAATGTTTACTTTAAATCGGTATAACTTAGAAACGGGTAAAGTAAATAAGTTTGAGTAAATAACAAAAAAGTTTTTAAATAATATGTACTTTTGTATGCGCGTATTTCCAAACTCTCTGTAATCGAATAATTTTTCGACGCGTCGCGACGCCCAGCTCTTTGCAGGCGTCGAATTTTTTATACTTTAGGAAATATCTACTTGACCCCACACTTTGACTACTTTTTACATAAATTAAATATTTCTTTTCGTTTTGGACTTATTGGCGTGCGGAGTTTTAAGTGAAAAACCCTGTATATAGTGTTCGAAGTGTTTTCGGAGCGCGAGCATTGAAGATGCCAAGTGAGATTTTGGCGAAACGTCTGCAGGATTC